TGCTCCTGTAGTTTTAATCATAATCTGTAAAATCCCCGAACCATTATGCAGTTTAAGAGTACAGGTTGCAGGAATTCTATAGTCTAGCAGAAATGACCAACAGCAAAACTGAGGTAATTAGCTGGTCTGTCGCTAGCCTGGTTTGCTGCATGGTTTTTCTATCAGGACAGGCCATCTATGAGGTCCACTGTGATGTTAATGCACTATCTTGTTAGCTTCTGCCAGGGGCAATTTATTTGCCCCATCAGTCACATTCTTTGGTGATTTTTCTTGCCCAGTCGTCCCCAACAATGTACCTAACAACTCTATGTGGGCATTCTCTATACTGTATTATACCTACCTTAATGTTTATTAGGCCTGTTCCAAAAGAATCCAGAAATTATGTTCTGCTTTTTCCCTTAAAACACTGGGCTGCCATAGGCTACTCTATAAGTACCTGAAATAAAGTAAAGGCTAAGGGAAAAGATTATCTTCTCTTCCTTGCATTTTTCAAATGCTTTTTCCGAAGCACTATTGAATTGGCAAGAACAAAATCAAGCACCTGTCCCTCCACCCTTAAAATCAAACTCTTTACATGAAAAAGTTCCAGACTATTTTCAAAAGCCAACTAATAAGGAAATTAAACGTAAATCTAAGTCATCTGAAAAACAGCACATCACTGATGCCGTTGAATATGCTCCATGGCATCGTTTCTGGAAATGATTCAGAAAAAAATATATCACTTTAACATATAAACACAAAAACCAAAGTTTTTTTTTTTTAATTAAACAAAGGATTCTTGTTTCTAATAAAATTTCTAACTGTCCAGAAATACCTGGGCAACATTCCGATGATAAGTCCGGCAAGTCTAGCATGCTTTCTTGTTCCTAAGATAAAGACATTAACATTCATATGTAGCCCAGTATTCAACTTCTTTATTGCTGCCTTGTGTCTTTTTGCTTCTTCCTCATTATATTTAGCAGACATAGTACTCTCTTTAGCATAATCTGACCAAAATACGAATTTGAACTTCAGGGTTGACCATGGAGTGGGAGGAAAGGAGGGAGGGGAACAGGAGAGAGGGAAAGGGCAGCTGGGGGAGGAGAGAGAGGAAGCGCTCCATGGGGCAGAGACCTTGTCTGACTCGTATACTGCTTTACCCCGGCACACAGCATCCTGCCTGCCCAGAACAGGTGTACAGAGTGAGTGGACTCCGCCAGGCACCAAGGTTTACACATTTTTCACTGTAGTTAATCCTCTGAACTGTCCTGTGAAGTCAGTATTACTATTGTCCTCAATTGATAGATATGAGGATGCTGCCTCTAAATAACCCTCAAATGGCCCAGGAAAACAAGAAAATGAATAGGAAAAAATTATGCTCAAAATCATTTGGGGTTAAATCATTTCAAATTAAATGAAAGGCCAGACGACTACAACTTAGCACATGAGGAGGGGCATATGAGTTTTGCAGAAACTCAACTTAGGGACTGTGCTAGGTAGCACTGGGAAGCTTTCATAACTAAGCATGATACTAACTCTTGGACTGCTTTGCATTTCTGGAGTCACAAAACAACATGGGGAAAGTGAGAAGTCAAATGCAAGGTGAACCAGGTAGACCGATACTTTAAAAAATAAAAACAAAAAAACCAGCAACAGTACCTGCCTCTACCAGTCATTGCAGGCAAGGTGTCAAGTCTCTGAATACATTTCAACTAAACTGAGGAAAACTGGATTACCTTTCTTGTCTACACTGAATGTTTCAGCTGATCTTGAAAGGACTAAGGAAGGGATTAGCTTGTTTCAAAGCACCTCAAACCTGTATGCAAATAGAACTCTGGTACTGCTCTATACATTTATAGTCAAAGACAACATTTTGTTTTTAAGAAAAGCAGCACACGATGTAACTGCAAATCAATCACAGAAAAATAAGCCAGACAATGTCACAGAAAAATAAGCCAGACAATGTCAAGCTCCAGTGAAAAATTCTGGTAATTACAAGCTGCATTATAAAAATCACTGGCAAATATGTTTGTCTTCATTGCTTGTGGTTCCTGTGCAGACTGGAAACACTCTTCCCTGCTGCCCATTCCCCTGCCATTTTATCCTTTTCCATTGTTTCCTGTCACTCATGCCAAATTGTGTGTGTGTGTGTGTGTGTGTGTGTGTACAGGAATGACAGAACTTGAATGTCTCCCCCCCAAATTTAAGCAAAAACATGCACTGTAGGACAAGGATGAAGGTTGTTTTTCACAGGGTGGACCGTGTGGAAATCCAGGAATAAATTCTATATAAAGAAGAGACAAGTAGAGTGCGGTTCATTTTGTCAACAGAAAATCACTGAGTCCCTACGACAGTGAGGCACTGTGCTAAGTAGTGGACATCTGGGAAACAGAAAGATATGAGAGTGGCTTCAGAGGTATAATAGGAAATTCCAATTCATTGATTGGTAAATTTTTGTTTTGAAACCTAAACCTCATTGTTAAACGGATTCAAGGATTTCACAAATACTCTGTTCTGTTGATGAGTTTCCCTTGAAATATTGTTGTGCCAAGATTCATAACACTATATGATCTTCTGAGATTATCTTCTTTATGTCTTAGACTCCTTTGCAGGACTTCTGCGCTCAGTCTGTTGTTTAAATGTTGGTGTTCCCTGAGGTTTTAGCCTAGGCTTTTGTTTCTGCTCATTCCCTCTCTCACTCATTTCGGGGAGTTCTCATTTGCTCCCATGTCTTTTAGTACCATCCTTGTGATATGGACACCATATCTGATGACATCAAGTTCTGCATGTCAAGCTTAAACATCGTCTGAGCTCCAGGCTCATACAAACCCTCCTTTGACATTACCACCTGTATTATTTCAAAACAGCCAAAACTGAACTGATCAACTTCCCTCTATCACCTTGAGTAGCACAGCCATCCTTGAAGTTGCCCAATCAAGAAACCCAAGAATTATTAACTCCTTCCCCATTACTCTGTAACATCCAATCTCAAAGTTCCATGGGCTTTCTGTGCTAAAATATATTAAGAAACCAACCACTTTTCATATTCTCTGCTACCACCCAATTCAGGTCACCATCATCTCTTGTCAAGATTCGCACAAATATCTGCTTAAACTGGCTGGCCTCGTTGGTTTCAATCTTGCCTGTAACTAATTATCTTTGACTTTACAGCCAGTTACCAATTCAAAATGCAAACTCGATAATACTGTTGACTTGTTTCAAACACTAAAATGGTTCTGCCCACACTAAAGGTAATGTTCAAACTCCTTTGGAGCTCCTCGGGGCCTCTGCTGATTTTACAAATTCCTCCAGCTTTGCCGCTCCTCTCTCAGATGCCGCATTTTCCCATACCAAACTTCTTTCAATTCCTTAAACACCAAAATGTGCTTTCTTTTATCCGAGGCCTTCCCATATCCTTTTCATTACCTACACTTTCATCTCCACAGCAAACTTGCCTACCTAAGTCCTAGCTATCATCTGAACACTGGCTTCCTTTGAGAAGCCTACTTGGCTTGCGGCCCCGTTACAGTTTCAATCTCACTTACTTCCCGCTCACTTACACCAAACCCACCCTTACCCACAACAAACAAGGGCAGATTTTCTTAACATATGTTCCCACTGCAACTTATACATTCCCTTTAGTATAACTTTTATGGTTTTATTATAAATACTCATTTGACAGTCTTCTCCACTAATTCTGACACAGAGCAAGAAGCTAGCCACTATATTCAGCCTGCCTTTGTCCCCCTCCCACCTAGTACAGTGCTGTGTGCATAAGTGGTGCTCAGTAAATATTTGTTCAACGAGAAACTGGAGTGCCTTTTATTTACAGGAAACTAGGAAGGGTTTTGAGCTAAATAACGCCCCCTCCGTTAAAGAGAATAACATTAAATGCAGAATGTCTGTTATACATAATTATAAGATGATAATGAGTAAATAAAATTGACTCCAATTTGGATACATGAGGATCTGCTAACATTGTAAATTGGAATTAAATATTTATCTCTCCCCTCTGGGATAATCTAATCCACACTAAACACTTCTGTAAGACAGTTTTATGATTTTATATTACAGATGTGAGAATAGGCACAGCAAAGTTAATTGAGTTATCCAAGGTTACCCAGTAAATCAGAAGCAGGGCCAGGTAATACTGTGCCACTGAAGGACTGAGACCTATACACTTGAACGGTCTTCTCTCAACTGTCGCCTCTGATATTCACACGTGAATATACACTCTCAGGAATACAGGTGCTTTTCCATGGTTTTCCTCTAGCCTTTCTGCGATGTGCCTCTGCATTCTCAGAGGGGTCAGTTTCCTCTTTATTCTTAGGAGAATGTTAATATCGGGCACTAATCCCCACCACAAAGCACCAACATTAAACTCTCCTGCTGTAGGACATCGTATTGCGACTCTACGTCTATAAATATCCACAGCTAGTTGGCTAGTATATTCTATTGTGCTGGATGGACATTTTTATAGAAAATGCTGCCAGCACCTACTAAATATTTGAGAAGTAACATAGGCCATTAAATTTAATGGGATTACTGGTTCCAACATTTGTATTGTGAGAGAAACTCAAAACTATTTGTGCTGCCATTTCAAAAGCTGTATACTCAACAGAGATGTTTATATGTGGTATTCTGGGGGCAATGGCAAACACAGCACATAACCAAAATGCCTCAAAAAGACTTTAATGCCTTCTCAATTATTTAGTGTACATAGAATTTTGATTTCTATAACAATGATCATTGTTGATATTATCACAGAGATAGGGAGGGTGAGTATATGCTTGAGATTTTTCCTAGCCCCAGATGGGACCAACCAATGTTCTTTCTTTTTATACCTAATATAGTACAAGATGTTAATAGAATCTTACCTGTATAAAACTGTAGCTAACATGGGCCACTTTTATTAGATATATAGACCTATGTTTCATCAGCATTTGTAAATCAATTATACAATTTTCCCTCAGATATACCATCAAATAGAAGATTCCCCATTCGCAGAACACCTCCCTTGCTGTTTGGGCTTTAATTGATCTATCCTTCATTCACCAAAAGCAAACTCTCTACCCCTAAACCCCTAAAGCACTCAAGCCAGCTCATTATATCACGCTCCAATCCTGCTTTATAGCTCCAGGCCCATGAAGAACTCTAAATGTCCAAAGTATTTACTGTTCTTAATCCCCAACATGACATTAAGTGAATTGGTTCTGTCACGTGAGTCTAACTGATTATGTTTCCCCTAATAAAGACGGACACTTGCGTTACACACTTGCAAGCTAGCCCAATGTAAGTGGAAGAGAGAACTTTTGTCAGATGCCAACTTAACATCAATTGCTCATACCATGGAAATGTCAATTAAAAGTCTAGTGGAATCTTTCAAACAACGTTTTCCAGTCCAAGAATGTGTATAAATCTATAGCAAATTGAGAGGCAACGCAAACTCAATCTTAACCTTCACACATGTGTTAATTGGTTGGTCACTAGTAGACGGCATCCGTGGAGTCAGAACACATTTGACTTTCACTGGAAAATGTAGAATAGATTTCATGAATTCATCCTCATTCATCAGCCCTATTTCAGGGGAAATGACTCTGAGAGGATATTGTCTTCCTTCCCTAATGTGGTAGTTCCTATTGAGCTATATCAAGAAATAAAAGTTTCTTTCAAAAGTAGCACAAAGGCTGAGTTGGCTTCCTGCTTCCGATTATCGGTCCTCTCAAAGACTTCTAAAGGAAGCAAATTCCAACATTAGCTTTAAAGTTCTAACATGGTACCTTGTACATGGAACCTCATTTGCTGTACTAGTGTGAACGTGACAATAATAAAGGATGACAAAACACAAAACAAATGTTTGTTTTTATCCCAAGGATATTTGTCCTATTTGACAATTTACCTGCAGAGATTCCATTTCTTCATCTTTTCTTTGGGTCTCTTCCAGCAGATCTACAACAAGAAAGTAAAACACCTGTCAAAACGCAATAGGTTGCCTCTTACAATCAAATGTAACTGAGTCAGGAGCTTGAACAAACTGCTACCTGGGAAGAGAAGAGTGCCACATTGAAGGATCAGAAACACTGTAAACATAATGCCCTCTGATCCCAACTAGTGACACGTGGCAGCGCTCTGGACCTTGACAGACCTAAGCTGGTTGAGAAGCCCTGAGAGGTTCCTGCTTTATTTGAGGTACCAGAGGATGACAGCATATTAATTACAGATACATAATCATAGCAATATTTTAGAAATTTTGTTCAAGGCTTATCTAACTCAAAAGTAACACAAATTTTTTTTTTTTAAAGAAAGCCTTTTTCTTTTGAAAGAAAAATTGGAAATAAACATTTGCTCTTAAAATAAGTGCCCCAGCCAAGTTCACCCCTAAAGTCAAGTTTTATAATCAAATTAAAATACCCTGAAATAATGAGTATTATTAATGGAAGTAAGAACACTGCCTCAACTATAAAGTCGTATTAATTATCATTTCAACTGAGAGGGAGGAAGCATTGAAGCTACATCTGACCAAGAGTTTGGCACCATCTCAGAGAAATTAGTGGCTGGAAGGTAGTCAACTCAAGATTCTATTTTAATGTATGCATACAGCCATGATATACCAGTGCCCTACATTAATTTATGAACTTGCTATAAAGGAAAATATATTTTTGCCTGCAGCCATACCACCCTGTGTTACAATTTTATTAGATCTCACAAAACTAAAGAGGACTAGGCTGAGTCAGAGCTTAGATGAAAATTGGCAAGAAACACCCACAGCAGCATATATTAAAATTAGCATTTGCCTTACTCTGTGATTGATATAGCTTACTAAGGCTATGCTGCATAAAAGGAAAAATAGAACTTAGAGAAATTCAATATATATCCCAGACAGACAAACTCAAATGGTTTTTTAGCAAGTGCTGTGCTAGATAGAGCAGGTAGTGGTAATCTAGTGGGGAGGCAGACTCATGCCAGTGTCATAACTGAGCTTGCAGTACACTGAGACTTCAAAGGACTCGGTAGATGACAGAATTGACAGTGATGGCTCTTTGAAACCACATGGCTAAGAGGGCCCCAAGGAAGTGGCAAGGACTCTCCTCCAGATACGTGTGTTGGGTTTAAGGATAAGAGGTAGTTTCTATTCTGTATGCTTTGGGGAACTGACTTTGGCTCCCCAGACCTCCTATAATTAGTTACATCAGTAAAGCTAGAGGAGTGTGAAGTGTTGAGGGTGTATTTTAGAAGGGGTTTTGATTGGCTTATCAGGCTTTTTAGCTATAAGGTGCAGAAACTCACTTGAGTTGCGATCTGAGTGTCCTCTGTCGTTTCTCTTCCTGCATCCTTACTCATCTGCATTGTCACTATGCGACTACTTCTATCAAGAAGTCATGCTCTTGATAGAAGAGACCTATGCTTAGATAGAAGAGACATATGCTTCTCCACTTCTTGCATTTGGGCTGGTCTCCTAACTTGATTTGGTGAACAGAGTACAGCTGAAGCAACTCTGTATCACTCCGCTTTGAGGCTTCAAGAGGCCTTGCATATTTTCACTTTTCTACCTGGAACCCTGTCCCCAGCATCTCAACAAGCCCAAGCCAACTAGATGGACAAGACACAGGCTCAGGACTCTGCCTGCCTCCACCTCCTTGCAGGATGCACAAGCTGGCAGTCCGTGAACGTGCAGAGGCAGAGCTGCCCAGCCAATGTGAGGATAACTACAGACGACTCAGGGGAGCCCAACTGAGACAAGACAAACTACCCAGCTAAGCACAGCACCAACTTCAACCTGCAGGATCATGAGCTAAATAAATGGAAGTTTGGAAAGATTTGATACCCAGAACTTGCCAAGTGATTGCCCTGAGTTGCTAACTGAACAATGCTTAGAATTTATTAGAGGGATACAGAAGTAACCAAGAGATAAATGTGAACAGGAGACCCAGAATCTGAAGAGAATAACAACTAGAGAAGGTCTAGGTGGGTTGGATTGTGGGTAGCATAAGCTCATGGGCATTTTATTCTGGGTGCTTCTAACCTTTGTGTCAGTTCACTCAAGATACCACTTCATAAAGAGAAGAGCTAATGAGCATAGCTTAGATCTCTTGCCTACTACCTGGCTAGGGCAAAGTATAGAGACCTTCATTGATAATCTCGAAAAGATTGGACTAAGAACAGAAATCACAGTTTCCAAATGTAAAATTAGGATACTGTAACAGAAGAAGGGGGCATGATCGTCTAACAGGCCAAAACAAGAGCCCTAGTCCAAATATTTTCAATAAACTGTGTCTTCAGCCCAACTCTCTTTAATATTAGTGAAATATAAGATCACTGCTCTGTCCCTAAGAGGACAAGGTCATTTAACTCCACTATGTCTGGATATAAGGAAGTTCTCAGAGATGGCCCTTTGTAATAAATTACATGGTTTAATGGTGCAGTGGAACTGAATTGATGCATAGTGGGGCCATCAACCACTAAAGAAAACTAATCTTGTTCTTCCAGGGTCAACTTGGTATGGCAAGCATCAAACACCTTGGATAAAACTTACTGGATGAATAATGGGGCAAGGGATCCCTTATGCAGCCAAATACAACTCACTTATCTGATAACACAAAGATGTAAACAAGTTCAGTCTAAACACAGAACTTCATAAAATTATAGCATTTTAAAATTATAATCTCAGTTTTCTCCAAATGCACAAGGGCCACAGTGCTCTTCCAACAAAGCTGATGCCAATGACAAAGCTTGATTAGGGACAGATGAATATAACTAACTATATGAGAATTTCTAGAAGTAGCACTTAAAATACATGAATTTTAAATTTTAAATACATGCTCTCCTTGCTTGAACTTTTGTCTAGTTTATATAAGGAGTATAAGTAAAGGCCAGGCATAGTGGCTTGTGTCTATAATTCTAGCACTCTAGGAGGCTTGAGGAGGGTGGATTGCAAGTTCCTATCTCTAAAAATCACCAGGCATTATACTGGAAGCTTATAGTCTCACCTAGTCAGGAGGCTGAGGCAAGAAAATCACATGAGGCCAGGAGTTTGAGGTTGCTGTGAGCTATAACACCACTATACTCTACCAAGGGCAACAAAGTAAGACTCTGTCTCAAAAAAAAAGGGGGGGGGGTATAAGTGGACACCTTTTTCTTTTTTTCTTTTTCTTTGTGCCATACCTCTTCCCTCTAAGCTCCTATTCCTCTTTTCTATGTGATTCTTAAGAAACTTTCAGTCAAGGGGCCTGACTAGTCTGTCCCACCACAAAATAGATCGTGACCCAGGCTGGCATGTCAGAGCATCTTACCTCCCCCAAAAGGAGCTCAGCAACACAAGTAGGAATCCTTTTCAGGGATTAAAATGTATACCAAGAGAGAAACTCTCTCTTTCTGAAGCCACAAGCTTACATTAGCCTGGTGTTTCCAAGTCTGTGTTTTCTACCTATGTTGAAGAAACTTGTCAACAGGCTGCTAAAAAGGAAATGAGAACCAAGAAAAAAGAGAGCATTGGAGGACTGCAGCCACCTTGCTTTAGAAGCCATTAAACACCTGAACTTCCACTAAATTCTTCTTTTCTTTTTTGCTTTTGCTTAAATTAGCTTTAGTTGGACTGCCGCCGTTTTTTAAAAGTCTCCAAGGCCGTGCTTGGACTGAACCTTTTTATCTCTGCTCAGAAACCTGAAGAACTCAAAAGGTTGGAAAGAACTTTCTATTCCACATTAAAATGTTCCATGCTACAATCAGTACATGAAGAAATGAGGGCCAACGAAGGCAAATGATTTGCCTGAGATTACCAACTTAGAACTAAAGCCACATCTAAAGCTCTGTTCTCTTCTTTTCCTGCTCTGTTCATCACACCACGCTTTCCCTAGTACCGCTCAGTACCAAACTGTATCATTAAAAAAATACACACCTGTTTGCATTCTGACTTGCTTTAGGAGTTCTCTGATGTCAACAACCAGAGGTTCCATCTCTTTATACTCACATCCTCCCTCACTACTGCCTCCCACCACTGACACTTGCCTTCGATCCCCCAATCGCTTGCTCCACCTACACTCCTGCTCTAAGCAACTGCTCACTTGTCAGGTGCACTGTTCAAGCACGTGCGTGTGTGATGATGAACAGGGTCATTAACCTGTGCTGAGGAAATATGGCTACGGGCACGGCTGAGAAACACTACTCTATAGCAAACAGATGGAAGACAAGAACATGGGTGAGATTTCTAGATAGTGGAAGTGATTTAATGCTGTGGCAACTTATTGCCCCTCATAATGAACAATCTTGTTTGTTCTCATGAACTTTAAAATAAATGGTCAGCATGGAAAAACCTGAAGGGCTGCCCTGCTCCCTAGTGCACCGCTGGTGTGTTCGGGTTTCCCTTTATTCTTCTCTACTTTGCTGTTCAATACAAACAGCGATTCAACCGCCAGGCAAACTGCTGCGGTGAAATGTGCATCTATCAACATTAGTTAATCAAAAAGTTTCGGGGAAAAAGGCAGCAGCTTTGTATGTTTTCCTTGCATTGGCTCCAATTTTTTAAAAGAGCCGATACTAACCCATTATGACATACGGTCATTAGAGAGGATAGAGTTCCTTCCAAAAAAGCAGGACATCGTGGATGACAACTGGACAATCCAGTTGTTTGGTTTTACTTTTTCTGCTTTGCATTTCTCCGGCATACTCAGGGTCCTGTATCCTGGCCACGTTTTGGCCAACACAGTTCTGTACCACTTCCTCTGCAGTCTTTGCAACCCGGGGTCTGGCTGTTTAAAGAGGTTTGACACTTTTTTAATGTTGATTCTGGTTTCTGGTAGCCAAAGATACAGATGGAGTGTTCTTTTGTTTTTAAAAGGTGAATCAAACCCAGGTGTGCGTGAGTAACACGCTCATCTATTGTAGTAACTTGACTCTTCACAGGAAGGTTGAAGAGCAAGGTTAGAAATAACTACTTTCCCCTTTAACTTTTA